CCCCAAAACCCCAAAACCCCAAAACCCCAAAACCCCGAGGCTGTATTCTAGTATTGAGGTTTAATAGGACTAGGTTTATTTAGAAATCCCTCTAATTATCAATTCTTTTGTTTTCACAAATTAAGCAAAGGAGGGTCTTTGGCTGCAGTATTTGAGTCAGAAAGGACCAAATCATCCAATTTAGGGTCAATTCTGGTTTTTGGGTGAAAACCGCATATTTGGTTTTTGGGGTTCTAAACCTACACAATCGATGAATACTTTCATAATTATTAGCATTCAAATTCCTAGGTGTTTTAAGGTTCAATTCAATGACATCAAATGCTTAACCATGAACAAGTATGGGCTCTTCTGGCCACTTGAGTGCATAAAAGATCACAGCCTTGTCTCCTTGTCAACTAGTATTTTACATCGGAGGTGTTCTTTAAAGTTCTAGGACTTGTCTGAAAGAACATAATTCAATAATATTTAATAAGCAGAATGAGCTACCTTGAACTTAATGCTCTACTATAATGATTTTGATGAGCTTGACTGGTTAGTACCCACCTTAAAATGCATCCTCCAGGCACAGGTTCATAATTTTTCAGATGAGCCTGTACAAAGCTAGGATTTCAGAAATCTAGCTTCTGCCATCCACAATGTAAGACCTAAGAACACAAATATGAAGAAATATTAATCTGATGCTTACAATTGCTTTTAGAGTATCTGAGAGACCAAGTCAAAGATTCTCTGATTCTGGCAAGCTAGTCTTTGAAGGATCTTAGAATATTCTTATGGACATCAAAAATAGATTTGTGAGAAAAACCAAAAGTGCTCCAAATTATCAGTCCGGATGAAGATTAGGATTCACCTGGAATTTTAGCATCGAAACAAACTCCATAAAACAAGGAGCTAGAGTTATGAATGCGAGTTCAAACCTTCATCGCAAGCACACTTGGGTGCATATCATGCTATGCCAATGATTTTGTTAAATTTCTCGTATAGAAACATAAGTCTAAAGAAGGCAGTATGGATTCATCAATAATTTTTCGATACTTAGAGTCTTCATTAGCATGAAAACCAAATCTGAGACTCCTTTGACAAACTTAGTGTTCAAACAGTTCAGAGATAGCCAAATTTAACCTAGAAGTCTCTTGAACCTTGTTCATCATAAAAACTTCACATTTGGAGGACTAGGTTTATGTACTAAAATTATGGTTGAACAAAATTCATATCCATATAATTTGGATGATATCCTCGAGTGAGAAATAGAAATCAAAAATTTCATAGAATACTCTGGATATTGGCTTACAATCCCTAATGCTTTTAAGGCTTCCAAATATGAGCCATAAAGCTGAACCGCTTATGCTCAGACGTCAAAGACAGCTACAATTTTAGTTTACTATTTCTTGTTCTCCTTGTACAACCAAGAGACAAAGATTCTTACTGAAATATTGAATAAATTCATTAATTTAGTTCATCCAATGAGGTTTAGATGAAATCTTCAAAGAGTTTAATTACAAAATTATTCATAGCCAAATTTCTTAAAAATTCAGGCAAGTAACTAGAGAAAAATTATCGCAGATTTGGTTTATAATCCTATCTTTTATGCAATTATAATAATTCATGGCTAGAACACAAAAAGCAAGCTTTAATAGTTGAGGATGATGAGGGCAGAGCTGATATTTACCAGCTTTAGAGGAATCTAAAGGCAACGTCATGAGTACCCAATGTACATTAAAACTCATCATAAAATATGTGTTTACACATAATTTTGTTCTGGAAGAGCAACCGAGATTTTACAAAGATCTCCTTACCAATAAATTAAAACATTCGATATTTCACATTAGCAGAGGCAGAGTATGAAATAATTTACTGGATCAGTTTGGAGCTAAAATATTTAAATATAAGGCTGGCTTCTCTTATTAGGTTTATTCAGAAAACTGTATTATTTCATAACTTCTTTCACATCCACTACCACTAAAATTCCCAGAATTCTGTGTCACCGGGCTAAGGAATAAAAGTATCCTATTTTCCCATGCTTTATAATAAGGAGAGAAATCATCGTTGATATAAATTTAGCAAGACAAAATAAATATTAACTTTTCTGGGGATCCTGCTTGTAGCCAAACTTTATTATTGAACAGGTGGAGAATACTTCCATCTAATATCCCGGCCAAACGAAAGATAATCGTGTATTAACTTTTTCTTTGAAGTTTTCATACGACGAGCGTTTGCATATCCATAAATAAGTTAGGAGCAAGATTCAAACAATTTTGTTAGTTATTAATTATTACTAAGCTTTGCAAAGGGCCTTGATCCTCTGGACTCCCTTCTGGTAGCCCTCTGGGTTCAAAGACAGTGTTGGGTCTTCCTTCATCAGTCTGTCGAGTATTCCGCTTTCGCAGAAATGTTCGAAAATGCTGACCATTCCTTGGCACTCGAACAGCTTCTCGAGTTTGCGGACCGAGTAATTGTAGAGCACTTCATAGATTGAGTTGTAAGCCTTCTTGACGAATGGAAATCCGAAGCACTTCTTCATCGGGATCTTGAGCAGGATGCATGCGAACGTGACCTTGATTTCGTAGAATTTAGCAATATTCTCTTTGAACACCATTTTCTTAATTTTGGTTTTCTTGTCAAAGAAGTCTTGAAGACTGTAGACTGAGTCGGCTTCCAAGATGCCAAGCTTGGGTCCGAAGTGGCTGAGGCAGTACTAAACAGTCAGAGGCAACCACTTACTTGGTCGATGTTGCGGAGACACTTAGGACCGTCCGACTTGTGCAAGAAATAAATCATGGTGTTACCATCGGCGAAGGCTTCTCAGTAATAACGCTTGATGCTCCTGATAATGGTCTTGTTGACGACATCTTGTCTGGTTGAGTGGGCTCCAGGTTTGAGACCCTTGCTGTTGGCTTCTCTTGAGATGGTAGGAGTAGGTTCTGTCACAGGCTGTTTGGGTTTGGCTGATGGGTTAGTGCCGTGTGCAAACAAAGTAACTTCATCATCAGACTTGAACAGGTATGAGTGGTCATCTTCTTTAAAAATTTCAGGAGCTTGCACAACTTGCTCATCTGGAGTTATTTGAGTGAGATCAGAAAAGTTAATAGAAGTTTTGAGCATGGAGAAAGTGTTTTTGTAGGGATCTTCAAGTCCTATCTCATTTTTATTACCCTCGACAGCCTTCATATCTGCATCTCCACCGAACCAATGCGGATTTGGCACCTCGATGTCCCAAAAGTTGGGAGACAACTGTTGGTCCTCTTGGTAGCCAAGGTTGAATAATGGATTAGTATGGTTGTTCATAATATTTATTATCCAACCCCATTTACAATTCTTATATATCTTCTCGGGGTTTTGGGGTTTTGGGGTTTTGGGGTTTTGGGG